TCGCTTTCAATCCTAACTTCTTCCGGCACTTCTTTCGTCCGGCTTTTCCCTAGGCTCTTCCCTAGTCTCTCTCTCCGGTATTTTCCCGCTTCTTCCCGCTTCTTCCCTCCTAGGTTTCCTATCCGAGTCACGGCACCATTATGTTGCTCCCCCTCTTCGTGGAGGAGCGACACTAAACCCTGCCTAGGTTTCCTATCCGAGTCACGGCACCATTATGTCGCCCCCCCTCTTCGCGGAGGAACGACACAGGACCCTGTGCTGTTCTTTTGTCTGCTCGGCCCTCCCCGGGTTTGCTGCTGGTCCTTCCCGGGTTGGCTACCATCCTTCCACCTCCGTGGAAGGGCGGTTCCCCCGGCCACTTTCCCCACTTCCGCGGGGGAGCGGCACACCGCCGGCCGGCTCTCTCGGGGGCTGCTCAGGTGTTCCTTCAGATAGATGTTCCTGGTGCATGTTGTCTCTCTCCTCCTTTATAGTCCTCTTCCACCAATCCCAACTCTGCTACCCACATGCCGAGTACGCTGCTCTCCTCCAATCAGGAGCAGGTCCTACAGTTTATTGGTTGAACTGGAGGCAGCTGTGTAGAAGCTGTTTACTCCTCTCCCAGCGCCATGTGGGAGAGCAGATGCATAGAATAAGTCTTAATTCCAGTAACTTAGTCTAGTCCGAGTTGCTCCCCACAGGCTGTTCCACTTCCGATTAAGCTTCCTGCTAACATACCTGGTAAGGCAGCAGAAGATGGCCCAGAAGATGGGGGTCTTTGACACCCATGTGGGAGACCTAGATGAAGCTGGAGACTCGTGGCTTTGGCCTGGCCCAGACCTAACTGTTGCAACCACTTGTGGAATAAACTAGCGGATGAAAGATTTTTATTTTCCTCTCTCTCTCTCTCTCTCTACATGTCTCTCCCTCTTGTCACTTTGTCTTTCGAGTAAATAACTCTTAGAAACAAAAAAAGAAGTGATATATTAGTTTATTACTGTAATGAAATGTCTGAGGCAAGCTGCTTTATAAAGAGAAAGCATTTGTTTAGCTCACAGTTTTGGAGGTTGAAAGTCCAAGCATCATGGGGCAGACTTGTAAGCTAGGAAGCAGAGAAGGGCTGGACCCAAATCCAGGCTTTTAATTTACCTTCTGATGATACCTCCTCCCCACTATGACTTAAGAACCTCCCACTAGATCCCACGTATATCAAATACCATACTGGGATTAAGTTTCTACCCTTTTGATATTGTTATCTTTTGACTTTGAGGTTTCTACTTGAGGTCAGATGCCAAATCATACTCAAACCATGGCATTCCACTCATGGCCCCATGAAACTTAGGTCCTTCTCACATACAAGATTCCATCCCCAGAGGTTCCAAAGTCTTAACTCAGTCCACCAGTAATTCAAAAGCCCAAAATTGTATCTGACACTCAAGGAACTCTTTCATTTCTGAGCCCTTGCATGATCAAAAACAAGTAATATATTTTCAAGATAGGCACAGAGTACATATATTCCTATTATAAAAAGGTAAAACAGGAATACTTGGCCCAAATCAAGATAGAAACCTAACAGGGAAAACATTAAATCATTTTTTAAAGTTTTTAAAATTTATTTCTTTGAAAGGTAGAGTTACCAACAGGAGGGGAGACAGACAGAAAGGTCTTCCATCTACTGGTTTATTCTCCAGATGGCTGCAATGGCCAGAGCTGGGCTGATCTAAAACCAGGATCCAGGAGCTTCTTCTGGGTCTCCCACACAACTCCATTGGCACAAGCACTTGGGCCATCTTCTATTGCTTTCCCAGGCCATAAGCTGGATAGGAAGAAGAGCAGCCGGAACACAAACTGATGCCCATGTGGGATGCTGGCACCACAGGAGGAGACTTAGTCTATTACACCACAGCACAGGGCCCCAAACATTAAATCTTAAAGCTTGATGACTGCCATGCAGGGCACATTGTGGTGGGGGATGGGCTACCAAGAGCGTGGGAAACCATGCCCCACAGCTTCGCTGACTGTAACGCAGGCTTTAGTTCCTATAAATTCGAGTTATCATCCCTGCAACTATCCCAGGAGGGTGTTGCACATTGGTAGTACAGAGCTGCAATGGCAGTCCTGCCCCTGCAGCTCAATTAGCCTTGGTGAAAAGTGTCTGTGGCTCCAACTCCTTATTTCCAGTTGGCATTGCCCTAGTTAAGGCTCTCCACCTCTGTGACAATTCCCTATCTGGGCCCTGAGGATGTCTAAGACATTCTTTAAAATCTAAGTGGAGGGCCAGCGCTGTGGTACAGCCGGTAACGCCCTGGCCTGATGTGCCGGCATCCCACCCGGCTGCTCTACTTTCCATCAAGCTCTCTGCTATGGCCTGAGAAAGCAGGAGAAGATGGCCCAAGTTCGTGTGCCCCTTCCCCCATGTAGGAGACCCGGAAGAATCTCTTGGCTCCTGGCTTCAAAACGGCACAGCTCCAGCCATTGTGGCCATCTGGAGAGTGAACCAGCAGATGGAAGACCTCTCTCTCTCTCTGCCTGTCATCCTCTCTCTGTGTAACTCTTTCAAATAAATAAATAAATCTTTAAAGAGACAGCGAGAGCGAGAACACTCTACCTTGCCTCCCAGGCATTCCTTTGAAATCTTGATGGAAGCTTCCATTACCCCATAATTCTTTGTGCATGCTTGCAAAATCAGCAACATGGATGACATCAAGTTCTGCTACTGCATGCGTTGTATTTAGGTTCACTTCAGCCACAGCTACAGTAGTCTTGCAGCACTTAGCTAGCAACCCAGAAAGAATCAGAGCTGGTCCTAAGAAAGCAGGGTGCCCTAGAGCTTTTTCCTGAAGGTATTCTGCTCTTGAAAATCTTTGAAACAAATTTTTACTTTTAAACCTGTGATCCCGTGATGGCAGCAATGGCCTTGAAGATTTTTGAGATGCCCTCTAGGTCTCTTATAAATTGTTCCCATGGTTCAGCAGTGTTAATATCTTTACCAAGTGGCTGCTCAACCAATACTTTCCTTGGCTATACACCTTTACCAGCTTTTTCACTTGGTTCCTAGCCAGACTGTGAATTTTCCAAATAGTTTTTACGCTGATACTTTTTTCTCTTGATTTTCACTGTAAAATTGACTAAAAGTGGCCAATAATACCCATACTGCAGCTTTAACACTTTGTTTCCTTGAAATTTCTTCTGCCAAATGAATACCTTAGTTTATCACCTAAATTCAGTCTCCCAAAAGCATCAAGGCATGGACACAATACAGCCAGGTTCCCTGCTGTAACAAGGGTGTCCCTTAATTGAATTCCCAATGGAATCTTCATTTGCATCTGAAACATCATCAGCAAGGCCTTTTACTGTCCACATTTCTATCAGGATTCAAGTCCTCTCAGCCCTTACCAGAACTACCCATAAAGCTCCAGTTATAGCATCATAGGCATTATCTAATCTCCTCTCCCAAACTCTTCCAATCATTTCTGATAAACTAATTCCAAAAGGCTCTTCCACAACACCATTACTCAGTACCAATTTTTTGAATTAGCTTGTTGTTACTACAACAAAATACCTGAGGAAACTAACTTTATAAAGACAAAAGTTTTATTTAGATTTGGAGATCCAGTCCAAGATAAAGCAGCCCTATTTGTCTGGCCTCTAATGAGGACAGTGGATAGCAACAACAAAGTGAATGTGGAAGAGGATCACTCAACAATCCAGGAAGCAGAGAGAGAGAGAGAGAGACAGGTTGAGCTTTTAAACAACCTCTCACGTGAACAAACATTTTGAGGGCATGCCCCCAACAAGATTCCATAAGCCAACTCCTAAAAATTTGGCATCCCCAAGTCTTTAACAAGGATTTTTGGAAAACTCCCAAACTAGTATTCAGCTAGTATTCACCAAGTGGTAGCCAGTGGCTTGTGAAGGGTTAGAGTAGGAGGGTTGTCCTACCGGAAAGCAAGACTTTTTATGGGGGCAGATGTTATATGCAATGGGTTAAGACACTGCTTGGGAAACCCCCATCTCTTATCTGAATGCCTGATTCAAGTCCCAGTTACTCTGCACTTCCAATCCAGATTATTGCTAATGTACCTAGGAAATAGCAGATGATCAACCAAATACTTGGGTTCCTGAAACCCATGTGGAAGACCATGATGGAGTTCCTGACTCCTGGATATGGCCTGTCCCAATCCTAGCTGTTATAGACATTTGAGGACTGAACCAGCAAATGGAAAATCTCTCTCTCTGTCACTCTGTCATTTCTTTCAAATCAATCTTTAAAAAATTTCTTAGTGGCTGGTGCTGTGGCTCAGCGGGTTAAAGCCTTGGCCTGAAGCACTGGCATCCCATATGGATGCTGGTTCTAGTCCTGGCTGCTCCACTTCCAATCCAGCTCTCTGCTATGGCCTGGGAAAACAGTTAAAGATGGCCCAAGTAGTCCTTGGTCCCCTGTACCCATGTGGGAGACCCAGAAGAAGCTCCTGGCTCCTGGCTTCAGATAGGCGCAGCTCCGGCCATTGCAGCCATCTGGGGAGTGAACCAGCGGATGGAAGACCTCTCTCTCTCTCTGTCTCTACCTTTCTCTGTAACTCTTTCAAATACATAATAATTTAAAAAATTTCTTATATAAAATGGAAAACTTTACTGTGTCAAAATGGTTAAAATAATGCAGGCCTGCATTTATTAACAAACAGCATCAGAAACTACCTAGCTTCAAATTATGGATATGGGTAAATTTATATACCTTTGAATCATCCATGTCAGTTATAGTTTAATAATTTATTATTTTTTGAGATAACATATTTTTATTTTACCTTATAGTCAAAGTCTTATTGGTGCCATCAAATAAAGAGCCCAACAAATAAAAAATTTAAAAAAAAAAATCACAGTTGAGCAGGAAAATAGGCATTGGGGTATACATACATAATAATTAAAGATAATTTCAAATGAACTTAACCTTCTTAAATTATAACTTACAAAACTTTAAAGGTTTCAAAAGATCAGTGAGGTTAATTTTTGACTCATTTTACCTGAATATCCTACTTGCGGTGTCCAAGTTTTATACCCCTGTCTTTGCTGATTTCCAGCAGGGAATGGAGTTTTAAGTACTTGAGGATACTTAGTATCTGGTGCAGAGGATGAGCTTGTACCAAAAGTAAAATTTGATGCAACTGCATTTTCCACATAAGACTTTTTGTTTCCAAAGTATGAACCTGAATTTGAAAAATTAATTACTAATGGATTAGAATTATACAATTATATATTAATTCCTATTATTTATATCATGTTACTTACCATAAAATGTCATCTGATAATTTTTTAAGTATGACAAAATGACAAATTTAATGACATTGATAATCTTTTACTAAAATACATTAATATGGCTTTTGCATCTCAATTTCACTGATTACTCTTGCAAAATCCTTTAAATACACACCAATATGTTTAATTTCAAAGAATATACATAAACAGTCTAGCATAGTGTCTTGACACATGTTTGGGCTCTATGAAAACTCATTATTCTTATTTTCCTCAAAAAACTTTTAAGGTCAGTGTTGTGCAGATTAAGTTGCAGCTGCCAAAGCTGTCATTCCATATTGGAGTGCCAGCTGGAATCCTGGCTACTCTGCTTTGGACTGGCTTCCAGCTAATGGGCCTGGAAAGGCAGCAAACGGCCCAAACAACTTGGGTCCATACCACGCATCTGGGAGACCAGGACAGAGTTTGGCCTGGCCCAGATCTCTCCCTTTCTTACAATTCCTGTCTTCCCATAACCACCATGGAATCTAATTTATTTCTCTGTATGGGTTCCAGCCGCAACCAATGACACACTCTATTTGGATAATTTGAGGAAGATTTGGTAAGAGAGTATTTACAAAGCTGTGGGCAGGGTGTAGGGGTTCAGTCATAAAGACGGATGCAGGAAAAAGACAAAATGTGCTCTATTAGCATCCTAGGCTTAAAGAGTTAAGCCCTTTCTTGAACCTTATGCACATTTCTTAGTTCTTCTCCTACTCCTTTAATCTCTATTTTACTGTATCTTCTTCATATTCTTCCTTTGATTCCAAATGTGCTGGTAACTTTCAAATCTGCATCCCCCATACAGTATACAGAATTGATTTCAGCTTTCCTAGATCGAGTCATTCACTATCTCAATCCTGTCGCAGAACCATTTTAAAGTGTTTTACCCACTCAGACCTATCAAATTCCAGGACACCCAGCTGCTGTCCTCCAACCAAGCCACAGCTGAACTCTGAGGTAAACGTCACCCCCATCTGCCCGCACTCCGCAGCTGAGCCGCAGCTGAAGGCCTCGCAAGCACGCCCGCCCGCCCGAGAACTCCTTGCCTTGAGCGGGCCCAGCACTCCGAGGGCAGAGGAAGGTGCTGTTGCTGCTGCTCCTGTCGCCGGCGACTCCAGACGTGCCTGGCGGGGTGGACGCAGGGAAGGCCTGGCCCGAAGAGCGGCTCTGAGAAGCATCCTGGAGTCCCAAATTGTAGCGGGGACCCTGGGAGGCAGCCTCTCTCGACGACTGAGAAGCCGCAGGGGCGGAAGGCGAGGTTGAAGAGCTCTCACGTCTCAACATGCTCCCGAATTTCCCCCACAAACAAGGTTTGGGATCCCGTGCGCCACTTCGTAGACGGCGGAAAGCCGCGCGCCGCAAAGAAAGGCGGGAAACCGCGAGCAGACGCACGAGGCTGCATGGCGCAGGCGCACAAGGTTCACAAATGTTCAGCGTTCCTACCGTAACCTTGGAACGTTGCTCTTGGCGGCGCCCAAGCCCATCACCTCGCACAAACTTAATCATATTTACCCTTCCTCAACCTGCAGGAGTCAGGCTAACGGAATTCTTCATTGCCCTCCAACACCTGTTTCGGTTATTTGCATGGGTTCCTATTTCCCTTATTGCGAAAAACATGCTTCTAATTTCCCGCTGCCACTAACAGTGAAAACATCTACTGCTCACATCTCAGGACAACCAACCTTACATTGGCCTTGGTTAAATGAGTATGTTTGTGGGCTTACAAGTTGCTTTTCAAAGACTCCTTCATCTCTAAATAGTACGCAGATTTGTGCTAAGTGCGCAGAGAAATACAAGGTAAGGCCTCTTGGAAATTTAAGGCAGTTCGAAAAATCCCCAAGTTCTGCCTTGATTCCACAACCTTTATGGAGTAAATGTTTTTTTCCAAATACTGCAGTAGTATCAACTTTAAGGGATATTAAAACTGAACCACAACCCAGGTGAAGCCATGTATCCACAATATAGTTCACCTACCACCCATTGACCACAGACCTAAACTACTTTTAAAACTTTACTTGGGGTCCAGCACTGTAGCATGATAGGCAAGACAGCTGCCTGCAGGAAGAGCAACCCATGGAGTCTCGGCCGTGGCCTGGGAGGGCAGCACATTACCCGCAGTCCTGGGCCCCCGCAACTGCATCTGGGTACCTGGAAGAAGCTCCTGGCTTCTGAAGGATCGCGCAGCTCCAACAGTTGTGGCAATCTGGGGAGTAAGACTGCAGGTGGAAGACCTCTGCCTCTCAGATAAAAATCTTTGGGGGAGGGGGGGACACAACAACTTGGAAGGCAATTATTTTAGAGGCCCAAATGGCCCCAACTTTCCTGGCTGAAGAAGGGGCTTCTTCTGGGTCTCCCACACTGTGCATGGGCCAGAGCACTCATTCCCCCATTGCTCTCCCAGGTGCATTAACGGGGAGCTGGATCAGAAGCTGAGCAGCCAGTACTCCCAACTGGTGCCCATAACGGATGCCACTGTCAAAGGCAGCTTTACCTTCAATGCCAATGTGGGAAGGCTCCCTTAGTGATAAACACAGGGTGTTACTGCACCCTCAATAAAGATGTTCACAAAACACTTTTCATCATTTGTTCTAAAAAGTATCACCTATCAGTTCATTTCCCAAACACAAGCTTTAACTGGGCAATTTTGACAAAGTGCTAAACAAAAAGTACTCCAAACTGCAACCAATTAAGATAGTGAGCAAATTCAGCCCTTAGTCTGTAAACGCCCCCTAAACTAAAAAAAAATATGTATCTTCTACGTGGTTATTTTTATTTGAAAGGCTTGAGTGACAGAATACTTCCATCTGCTGGTTTAATCTCCCAAATGCATACAGAAGCCCAGAGAGCTGGGGCAGGCCAGATACAGGAGCCAAGAACTTCAATCGCATCTCACAGTGGCAGGAACTCAAGCATTTGAGCCATCATTTGATGCCTCTCATCATGCACATTAGCAGGAGACTGGATTGGAAGTGGAGTAGCTGGTTTTCAACCAGGCATTCAGATATATAAGATGCAGGAATCTCAACAACACCCCTGTGCATATTTATTTATATATGGGTTTATCTGTCATTTAAAATTCTTGCAGACACAAACCAATTTACAGCTGTTGTTCTACAAAACAAAAAGGGAATAAACAATGACATGGAGATGATACACTGAAGCAAAAACAAAAAACTGTACTTAGAGTAACAGCATTAACAAAACCTAAAGCTGAACATACAATGCAAAATCTATTTTACAGTATGTATAATTACATAATTTATTAAAATTAATTTAACACAATATACAAAATATTAACAGTAGTCAATGTTGGAATGGCAGCTACACTAAACAGCTTTTCCATCAGCCAACTAGCTCACTAATTCAGGCTGAACATTCACCCTGCGAAGCACTTCTTCAGGCATGCAAAAAACAGGATTAACAGGTTTTATCTGTTCTTCTCCCAGAAGGGACAATCCAGCAATTCCAAATAATGTATGAAAAGGATCCACCTAAAACAAAAATTCACAGATTACAAAATGAATGGTCTCCCCCAAAACCTTGCTTCAAAATATTTTATTTATACTGCAGCCAATTCCACTTTGTGTACAGGCTTTAACATTTTCAGAAATAAACTTAAACCTGCTTCAAAATATGACCTTTATCATATAATATTTACTAACTTGTTTAATAGGCAAGGAGATTTTTTCTGACACTATTCAGTAAAGTACACTGCTTTGACGTTACATGCCTGGAAATGCCTACATCAATGAAAGTAATGCAACACTAAAAAGATATATAAACATTAGAAATATACTTGCCATATCTCCTGGCCTGTCTGCAAATCCCCCCGTTTCTTCATCTTGACATGCTAAGATGAAACTCCGCAGTTTCTCTCTATCAATCCAATGAAGTCTTCCGATAATCTTTAGAGAAGCCAACACCCACCATGAATAGCACACATCTGGTAACTAGGAGTAGGGGAAAGCAACAAATAACTACTAGTATTAATTCTGTTCTTAAGTCATTAGTAACAATTTAAAGTGAAGTCTCATCTAAGCAATCTGATATTCAAACGGTGAGAAGTAACAAAAAACATTAAAATATGTTTGCAATGTTTGCTTATAATTAAAAGATAACCAGTGGGAAAGAGAAAACTAACTCCAATTCATAAGTACCCATTCTAAATGTTTCAGGGCTCCGTGACAAGTATATATCTACATTTCTAACTGCATCAATAAATTCCTAACTCAGCCCATTAACCAAGAAGCTGATGAGAGGTTCATGAAATCTCTTGAGGGGGCTGCAGTAGGTAAAGCCACCACCTGCAGAGCCAGATTCCCATTGGGTGCTGGGACTCTCCACTTCTGATCCACTCTCCCATGGTCTGAGAGAGCAGTGGGAAGATGGCCAAAGTCCTTGGGCCCCTGCACCCCCGTGGGAGACCAGGAAGAAGCTCCTGGCTTTGGATGGGCTCAGCTCCAGCTGTTGTGGCAAGCTGGGGAGTGAACCAGACAGAAGGCCTCCCTCCCTCCCTCCCTGCAACTCTGCAGATGGAAGACTTGCTCCCTCTGCCTCTCAAATAAATCTTTATAAAAGTCATCAAAAAATTAAAAAAAAAGAAATCCCTGAGAATGTTACAATAATCTACATACAACATTTTCCAATGCTTTCCAACTAGGCACCAATTTGCCTTAATATCATCTAAAGCCTGGCTCCCCAAATTTCTTACGCATGATTCAGGGGCACACTAAGTGTATCCAAGAGCAGAAGCGTTTCAATCTTTTGGATTCTACTTTTGCCACTGGCAGGCTTTTTGAGATATTATAATGGAAGAAATGATAAGTTGAAAAGTCACAATAGGAGGAAGGACAAGGACTTCCTCATTACTACGAAGTGGCATTGATTCAAGCTTATGAAATAATACCTTCTCTGGTCTTCCATTAAGTCCACCTGAAGGCAACTGTCGTTCACAAAGCCACCAACCAAGTAAATCAGAATTTACTTGATGCAGCTGACTAGTAATAGCCAGGAATCCTGTGCAACAATAGATCTAAAATTACAGACATAAAGTACATGTGTATAATAATGTGACAGTAAAATAATGACAAAATCCAACTATTCAAATTATTAAAACATTTTTATCACTTTTGCCTTCTGATCTGATGATTCAACATTTCTAATTTTAAATAATTGCAAAAATCCAAGTATACTACTAAAATACATGTCATGGCATGTCTCTTATGAGACCTACAGATAAGGTTAAGTATAGTGTAAGTATACTGCACAAAGGGATGCTACATATGATGGGAGATTTTATACTACTCAGACCAATGAAAAACTTAGTCTTAAGTTGACCACAGGTATTACAATTGTGGAATGCAAAGTCATGCATAAGGGAGCAACCACAAAAAGTACTCTGGCACAAGCAATGAGCTGCCCGTTTGGCTCATGGTAGGTAGAAATGTTTTCAACTGCATAGTTAAAAATTGAATATATTTCGGTTCAACTGCTTGGGCCAGAGAGATCTACTAACAGAATGGTACATAATGCAAAATATTGTGGAAAAGCTTTCCGTAATTCTTAACATCCAATGTTACACCCCAATGATATTACACTTAACACATTTCCCTGTCATCACAATGGTAAATCCTTCAAAATTGATACTAAAATTTAATCTGAATTAAGTTACCTGCCCAGCATGAGATTCAGAACCCGGTCTGCAACCAAACCCACCATCAAAGTTCATGCAAGATAAAACAAATTCGATGGCTTTTTCCACATCAATTGCATCAAGCTTCCCCTATAAACAAAGAAATATGCCTGTTAAATTTCAAAAGTCCTCATGGATGCTTCATCATTTCAATATTCAAAGCTTGGGGCAAGCACTGTGGTGCAGCAGGCTGGGCCACACTTGGGATGGCCACCCATCTGTTCATATCCCAAGTCAAAGTGTGTGAATAGAGGATTCTCAGTTATTATTTCCAATCCAGCTTTCTGTGAAGTGCACCCAGCAGTGATGGCTCATGTATTTGGGATCCCTGCCACCGAATGGAAGACCATGCATGGCTCTGACCTAGCCCAGTCCCTGGCTCTTGTGGACAATTGGGAGTGAACCTCTGTGTGTCACTCTGCCTTCCAAATAAACAAACCTTAAGTATTTTCAAAGCTTACCAACAGAGCTAACGTTGCCACCGCACAGAAAGAGAATCTTGTATCAATTTCTCCTAAAACAAAAAGGAATCAATCAAACCATTATCAGACTTCCTTCTGATATAGTACAAGTTACCTAAAAACAAAATCTGTACACCTACTAGCTTGAATTTCCAAGAGTTCAAGCTTAACATCAGGTAGTCAGAACTGCTTAAATCTGAAGTTCTAAGTCTAATAACTAAAAAACTACTCTGTCAAAAATAACAGCAAATTATCAATGTTGTTTATGGGGGTCCAGAAAGGGAAGGAAACATCTGAAAAAAAACTAGCTAATTTCAAAAAAAAAAAATAAAACTTACCCTTATTTAATAAAAAGTAGATTTTCACATCCCATGAAGCAGCTGGTCTTTCTGGCCTGCACTGTGTTTAGCCCTAAAACACAGATTATCTACATTTATCAAATAAAAATCCTATTCCCTCCCTCCACACAAATATTCAGTAAGTTTGTAAAGTTTTTTTAGAAGTATTTTTCCCTTTCCAGCAAGTACTTTTTAAAAACTTTACAAAACCACCAAATATTGGGGGAAAAAAATTTCACCTACCTTATCTTTTAGACTGGCCCCCTCTGTTCCAGTGCTCCTGTATGCTGTTATAACTACCACAGTGCATGCTGGAACTTCCAGCAGACCATTAACTCCAATTAGACCAGCTGCTTCGTGGGACCTGAAAAAATGAAATACTTAAAAAAAAATCTACAAACTGGCTCTAAGCGAAGTGAGGACATTTTAATATTGGTATTTGGGAAGCATGGACTAAATATGACATTACCCCAAATGTCTCCAGCAAATGAACCATCTTCTTTCTGTAGACTTTGGACATATTCCACAACTTTATTCACGTCAATAACATTAATACTATCATACAGAGTAAGAATCTGCAACAAAGAAACATTAAGTTAATGCCCTCTGTTCTGATGCCCTCTCCTCAACTATCTTTGAAGTTATAAAGCATGTCTGAGTGTATACCGAAAACTTTCCCCCAATATACAATCTTGTTAGTCAACAAAATTGAGACACTAACCAAAAAGCAATTATTTTTCCACGTATAAACTACAATGCAGCATCCCAAAATACTCAAATATACTGTATGTAAAAGTACTTATTTACATACAGAAATAGTTGGGCCAGCCGGAGGCCAAGAGCTTCTTTCTGGTTTCCCACGTGGTACAGGGGCCCAAGTTCTTGGGGCTGTATTTTGCTGCTTTATCAAGTGCATTAGCAGGGAGGTTGACAGGAAGTGGAGCAGCCAAGACTCAAACCAACACCTATATGGCATGCTGGAGGCTTTAGCTACTATGGTACAACAATGCCCCCCCCCAAAATAGTATTTTAAGTTGTTGTGGTGCATTGAGCTAAGCTGTGCCTCCTGTATCAGAGCACCTGGGAAGGCAGAGAGTCCTTGGGAATCTGCCAACAATGTGGGAGACCCATATAAACTCCAGGCTCCTGGCTTTGGCCTGGTCCAGCCCTGGCCATCTGAGGAATAAGCAGCAGATGAAAGGTAGGTCTCTCTCCTTCAAATAAACAATTCAAAATAAATAGAAATTTTTTTTCAATGAGTCTTTAAGTCATATGGGTTGGCATTAAGTATTGAGGCAATGAACTAACCTGCCACTTTGTTTGCGTGCACCCTATCTAGGAGTGCTAGGTCAAGTTTCAGCTACTCTGCCTCCAACACAGACCTGGAT